TCGGCTTCAGTCGTTATCTTTGCCGACGTCGATAACGAAAATGAAACAACGAAAAAAGTAGTAGTAGTAGTAGTATTAACAATAGTAGTAGTTGGATTACGCCTGAATATCTACTTTTTTTTCTCCTCTGACATTTTCTACTCCAGTTATGAAAAAAAAAACAACAAAAATATAAAAATTAACGTGGATGGCGGATGAAAATGAAATTGTAACATCAGCAATTTTTTTAAAGATGGCGTCCGATATTTGTTAAAATGTCATCGGGCTTAAGAGACCTAAATACAAATTTTATTGATTTTTTGGTTGTTTTTATTTTTATTTTTCACATAATTTTTCCTTTAATTTTTTTCTTATATTCTTTATCGTTATTCTTTGGGAAAGCGATCTAAAGGGCACGTCGTCATTCTCTGGATTATTATTTATTTATTATTGATTGAAGTACAGGGTATTTGAATTCACAATCAATTGGCAATAATAATAGATGGAAATAATAATAAGAAGAAGAAGAAGAAGAAGAAGGTTGGGTTCATCTTCTTCTTCTTCTTATGTACACTATTTACATTATTCGGATTATTGTCCTCATCGTTGTTGCCATATTTATCCGATCCTTCAGTATACCTCATCTCTGAAAACCACTGAGAGATGGTATGAGAACCAAACAGACACAAAAACCCAAATTAACGATGTAACTATCCTCTGGGACATGCCAATTCAAACTGACAAGGAAATAAAAGCCAACAGACCGGATATTATCATAAAAGACAAGCAATTCAGGAAGTGTTTGCTTATTGACATGACAGTATCGTTTGAGAGAAACACCTCCATGGATATTATCGATAAATTGTCCAAATACAAGAACGATGGGATCCAGATTAACAGGATGGGGAGAATGAAAACTGAATATTTTATTTTAGTAATTGGAGCACTTAACACGCACAAACACACACACATTTTACTAAAACACACACACAAACACACACACACACAAACACACACACACACACACACACACACACACATATATATATATATATATATATATCAAATATAATGAACGCAAAACAATAGCTGAATGAAGGAATGGTTGAAATACTAATTTCAGAAAGAGATTTTTTTTTTTATAGCATATATATATATAAATCGAAATAATTCTCCCGTCGGGTTCGACGTATGAGGGTCAAACAGATCAGTTTCCAGGAAACTGACATTTGACACCGGCACATGAGATTCGATTATAGTGGTGAAGGTTTCGTGCAGGACCATCCACACTTTTTGAAGCGACGAATACAGAGACGTCAGTAATTACTCAGAGTAACCTTCATAATAATCAGAATAACGTTCATATTTTTGTTGATAAATCATTATTCTACGAAAAGAAATAAATAGTGACTGATATTATATTCAGGATAAGCACAAACTTAGGGAGAGATCCGACACATTCACCCCCGTCTACACATATATATATATATATATGTAATATGTCTATAATAAAAAATCATTAAAATTTGAACAAATCATACCATATATACAAACACAAGCAGTGTGAAAAGGGGCGAAAAGAGAGTGGGTCTTACTTGTAATATTTCCAAATAGGAAAAAGATCAGCTCGGTGATGTCCTTTATCTGACAGATGAGGCCATTTGATTTTCTCTATATGCAAGACCGCATTGGAATTGTGTCCGTCTTCAGCGCGGTCTACGTAACATCTGGTGTAGGACGACACGTCTTGCTTCCATGTGTGATAAATAGCAAGTCGTTTCGACACTCTATGAACTGACGTCACTCACCGGTCGTCACATGAGTCCATCTCGACCAAAGGGAGGTAATTAGCCTTTGAATCCCGATATTGGGCATCATATGTATGTAGTCCCGCGTCACTGTATTGGTGTCCTTCTATCGCAAATAACAATAATAAGATTAATAATTCAGAACTTCAAGAGGTGCGTGATTTAGGAAGAGAAAAAGAAAAGGAAAGGCACAGTGTTTAACATTATTTTGACAGTATTATTTCTATCGACTTAAAGTAAATATTAAAAATTGGGTACAAATAAAAAAGATACAACAAAGTCTTTGAATAAACGGACGTACTGGTAATCAACGCGTCAAAATGAATAAGACACAACAGTGTGGATGGAATGCAACATAAACATGAGCAACATGATGCGGCCGTACCAATTTTGAAATTTTACGTTACTTGATTAATTACTACGAACAATTAATCGAATTGTTTAGTATAATAATAATAATAATAATAATAATAAGTAAACACATGGAGCTCATTTGTCTGCGCATTTAACATAAAAAAGTGCTGTAATGGAATGTCCCACATTCCCTATCGCCTATGTGGACTAACTATATCAGTAGCTATATATAGTGAGCACAGTATATAGAGCGTTTCAAGTCCGGCTGGGTGTCAAGGCAAGATAATGAGCTTTCACACCGACCAAGCATCACTAAAAGGACAGAAAAATACGTAGAAAAAGAAAAGGAAAAAAAAAAAGAAATATAATGAATAATTCAGTGGTATTGGACGGCTTTCGCTATATATTCACCCAAGGGAACTATTTGAAAAAGAATGCTATAGCAATTTAAATAATATATGCCCTATATTATTTATTGAATTAATATTGGTCTATTTTTAACACTGGCTTTTCAATACCACCCCGCATATGTATGTGTGTGTGTGTAAATCTGTGTTTTGTGTGTGGGAAGAAATTAGATAAACTCAGGATATCTATCTATCTATCTATCTATATATATATATCTATCTATATATATATATATATATATATATATATATATATACAGAGAGAATTTTTTCTTTTTGTGTATATCGTAAAGTGTATAAATATATATGATGTATATAGATAAAGATAGGCATACACGTGCGTATGAAAACTAGACATGGAAAGTCAAACCCAGTGGTACACACACACACACACACATATCACACAGATAAATATATATGTGTGTATGTGTGTATATCTCTTCAATGTGTGTGTGTGTGTGTGTTAAAGAAAAAAAGGAGGTTTACTTCTAAAAATCAAGTTTTCATGAATATTTTGACTGTATTTATTTCATACGCACGTCTTATGCCTTATAAATATATATATTTAGAGCCAGAGGAAAACAAAAGGTCGATTACAGTTAAAATCAGCAACTAATTTTTTGAAATTAGTAATTCTACATAATGAAAAAACTTTCTTGGGAAAATTTGATACTCACAGGACAGATTGGACGAAAAACGGACAGAGGAGAACAACGCATAATTATTTAGTAAGCTTGAGTAAATGGATGTTGGAACAAGATCTAGGAGAAATAAAGAAAAGATAAAATTTATTTACGGTTAAAAAGTACAGGAAATTGTGGAGACCCATGATCACCTAGTTTCTGAAGCGACATGGCTCATATAGAAGAAGATGCATGATGAGGTTTATGATGATGTGCGAGATTTCAATCTATTTTGGAGCATCTTTATGTATTTCCTCATTCTGTTTTGAGCTGTCCACGTTTACACTAAAGTTGATTTAGCAAAAGAAAAGTTAGAAATAGATAGATAGATAGATAGATAGGAATAAGCTGATAAATTGATAGGAAAAGACTATAATATATTGATAGATAATGAATAGACTGATAGATATATATATATATATATATATATATATATATATATATAGATAGATAGATAGATAGATTATTAAACTAATAGATTGATAGGAAAAGACTTTAATATATTGATAGATAAATAGATAATGAACAGACTGATATATATATATATATATATATATATATATATATATATATATATATATATATATATATATATATATATATATATTTAGAGAGAGAGAGAGAGATGAATGAACAAAGTTAGATAGATAGATAGATAGATAGATAGATGATATGAAAAAAGACTGAAATAGATAGATAATAAACTGATAGATAGATAGATAGATAGATAGATAGATAGATAGATAGATAGATAAGTAGTCGACCTGTTAATATTTGAATTACCGTATATATTCCGAGTGTTTTTTTTTTTGTATAATATAGAGGTGGCGCATTATACATTTATTTGAAGAGATAAATAACCTTGGTGACCGGTTGCTTTATACAAAGTAGGTTTTAAAATTCATGCAAAAATTTCAACTGTCGCAATATACATGAAGATGTCTCATCGTATAAACATGATAGATTCATTGCTGATAATGTCTTTAATTTCAAATAATGTTATTTGCATGATATTTAAATGCTAATGCCAAGCATTTACCAGACACTCTATATTTAATGTTAAATATTCTGAAAATTTAAGTAAAAAAAAAAAAAAATGATAAAACTGGATTTAATGCCAAAGAGTTAAGGGCGTGCTTTTATTTTTTAAGTTATAAACAACAAATTCACTTTAAAATCATAATACCGAATAAACAATGTCCGTAAGTTGATATTATCCTCGTCAGCCATTGTTTCATCAAGCTCCCCTTGATATTTTCAGCTGGGCAAGATGTCTGCTGTACGACTTCCGGTCTATTCATTTCGCTGTCGTCTGCATCTCTCAAATAACAATGACGACTTTTTTTTTCAAACTTCCTTTTCATATTCTGGTAAATGCTATTTTTATTTTACTTCATTTTATTTTATGTTTTTTATTTTTTTTTAGTTATTCATGTATTTATTAAAAAACTTGCCACTCTGGGAAATTCTCAACAATATTAGCGTTCAGATATGTTTATTTTTTCTTTTCTTAACAGTGATGCGAGAAACATTATATACACACGTAGACATGTGCGTACATAACCGCGCATAAATGCACACGCACGCAGATTTGCAAAATCCAAAATAGCACAAAAACATTTGCGCACGTTTGACATGCAAACACATATGAAAAAATATTTCCACGCTCAAAAATACACAAGATGTATCGCAGATAAAACGGAATTCACGTTTATTGGCACACACACACTGATTTACGCGATTACAAACATAAATAGGCTTACGGCCACATCACATCCACCAGTTTCCGTACGATCAAGTTAAGCAACGCCGAGCCTTGTCAGTACCTAGATTGGTGACCGCTTGGGAATGCCAGGTGCTGTCAGCTTGGATGTGCGGGTGGTGTAATGCATAATGGCTCGGAATTGTTAATCGAGGAGTCGTGTTCCAGTTCCATTTGAGTTCGTTATATTTAGGTATGCGCAATTAAGACAGTGAAAGGTAAGAATCCACCTCTTGAGCCCCTAGCTATGGATTAATTAGTAAGACGTATCACCTCATCTCAGAAATGTAGACAGATACTGAAGGATCGGATAAATATGGCAACAAAGATGAGGACAATAGTCCGAATAATGTAAATAGTGTACATAATACCTCATCTCAGAAATATAGACAGATACTGAAGGATCGGATAAATACGGCAACAAAGATGAGGACAATAGTCTGAATAATGTAAATAGTGTACATAATACCTCATCTCAGAAATATAGACAGATACTGAAGGATCGGATAAATATGGCAGCAAAGATGAGGACAATAGTCCGAATAATGTAAATAGTGTACATAATACCTCATCTCAGAAATATAGACAGATACTGAAGGATCGGATAAATATGGCGACAAAAGATGAGGACAATAGTCGGAATAATGTAAATAGTGTACATAATACCTCATCTCAGAAATATAGACAGATACTGAAGGATCGGATAAATATGGCAGCAAAGATGAGGACAATAGTCCGAATAATATAAATAGTGTACATAATACCTCATCTCAGAAATATAGATAGATACTGAAGGATCGGATAAATATGGCAACAAAGATGAGGACAATAGTCCGAATAATGTAAATAGTGTACATAATACCTCATCTCTGAAATATAGACAGATACTGAAGGATCGGATAAATATGGCAGCAAAGATGAGGACAATAGTCCGAATAATGTAAATAGTGTACATAATACCTCATCTCTGAAATATAGACAGATACTGAAGGATCGGATAAATATGGCAGCAAAGATGAGGACAATAGTCTGAATAATGTAAATAGTGTACATAATACCTCATCGCAGAAATGCATTTATATTTCGTATTATCGCATCTCATCAGGCCTGATGCGATGATAAGCATCGAAACATGAATACATTAATGTAGTGGTTACACATATTCGAATGTAATAAACTATAATAAAGAAGTATACATATGTCCGCCATGTATACATATTTCAGGAAAGGAAAAACTTGTATAGATAGTGTAATACCAAATTTATTCAGATATGCTGAGACTAATACAAGTTACATTTGTATTCTAAAATCACAAGATATGCTGAAAATGCTGACCTTTAGCTTCCAGACCTTTGTGCGATACAAAACAGCCCCAGAGGTAGAAGTCTGCAGGTGTTAACTTAGAAGAATATGGGGGAACTCGACTGCACTTCTCCAATCTAGCCAGTGTCCTTGCAAATTCAGATAAGCTCACACGTCTTGCTGGTAGCGCGCCGTTGTGCCGTCTTGTTGAAAGAAATATTCGTCATTTTCCGTGGATGGCTGTATTATCGCAATTTGCTAAAACTACGTAAGTCAAGTGTTTTCTTTTCTGAAGTGTTCAGACATATTTGGCGATCTCTTTCGCTTTCTCCCTGTCTCTCTGTCTCTCTCTGTCTCTCTCTGTCTCTCTCAATCATACAAATATATGTACACACACACACAAACACACACACACACACACACAAACACACACACACACACACACAAACACACACACACATATAGATATGTTACGCTCTCGTCATTGAAAAAAGATGATTCCGTCGCCGCTGTTAATGCACCGCTCTTCATTAATGAATTGAGTACTCTGGCTGCTGGCGTTTGTATACATCTCGTATATAATACGTTAGAATTGCCCTTTCTCTGCTGTTTGCCGTTAGCTTAGCAGTAGAATCTTGACTGATGCCAAATCGGTTTCGATCCCGTCTTGAAGTAATCGGATTTCTAGCCACACTGAAGTCCTGTGATATGTGAAACAGGCTTGTAATATATATATATATATATATATATATATATATATATATATATATATATATATATATATATATTCAACTGCTAATAAATAGCATAATTTTTTTTTTTAATTTTCGGTCTACACATATTTCGTTTTAGTGTGTGCCTGTGTATGGGAAAATTGTGCTTTTGCCCTGAACATGACAATTTGAAATTGTTGAAAGTACTTGGCATGTGTCTTCCATCTGACAACAACTCGATTATAAGGATATTATTATTCAAGGAACTGATAGCAAATTAATGTCTCATCAAGCCTTGTTAGCGAAGTGATTTCGCCATTAATCACATTGACATTGGTATTCAATTCTTTGTATAAATTGTTTCTTCATAAAATATAAGCTTCACAATATATATATATATATATATATATATATATATATATTTGAACTATGAATCAACATCTTCCTATGAACATCTCTATATAATTTAAAAAAAAAACAGTAAACTATATCTGATGAGTTGGGAAACCAGCGAAAATTTAGTCGCACACCAAACGTAGGAATATGTGTATTTATTAATATATATTTCTTAGCTCTGTTTAACCATATCGAGCACTATTATGTCTATACCTTTTGGCAAAATTTGTTAATCATTTATTTGCTTAGCTGTGTATGCACAGCAGCACATAAATATATACGGTTGCTAATATCTCGTTTCATTTACCTAAATAATTATATATATATATATATATATATATATATATATATATATATATATATATATATATATAAAAGGAAGAGGTTATAGTTGTTCGAATGAGAGGGCTGTAATTATATTAAAAAGAAGGGCGAAAAACGCAAAAGTTTTTGATTGTAATGTGAATTTAAAAAATATATATATATTATGCTTTATATTCCCTAATTTCGCTACACGTGTTTCCGGTCCCGTGACCTTCATCAGGCAACGAGTGGATATTTTCATATATTTTTCAAAGGAATTAATTTTTCTTATGCCTTTCAATTTTGAACATTCTCTTTTTCGTGCGTTAGCGACACAAATGTCTTCCTTGAACTGGCAGTGAAAAAGTTCTGCGTAAAGAGTATTAAAACAATTAACATTTGTCCGAAAAAGGGCAAAGAAAGATACCTGTATTCTTATCTTTTAATGACCCCTATGTGTTCTTAGATCTATTTCCATTTTTTGTGTTTATGTGTGTGACTGTGTGTGTATAAATATTCTCAGAGTGTGTCTATAGAAGAGACAGAATGAATAAAAAAGAAACAAGAGAGAAACTATACTTAGCCGAAACCCTTCATTTTGTGAGGGATTTTTTTCAAGGCAATATAGGATTCCTCGAGTGTTTATATACACAGGGGCAAGGATGTCATTGGTTTATCAGGGCTTGTAAATTTGAAAAAGTTCATGGTGATTGGAAGCTAAGTCAAGTAACGTGGAGGACACAAAGTGTCTTAATTCAAAGTCTGGTGGAAAGAAAAGTGGACGAGTAATATCCAATATTTTTTTTTTAAATGAATATTGTTTAGATTGTTATTTGATTGTTATGGCATGGGATAAACATTTCAGTTGTCCATCTTCAAAGCCTTTTTTTTCTTTTTTCAACATCTTTGTTGTTGTGTATGTAGGCTTGGTATTGTAGTAATTCTTTCAGGAAAGGTGAGACTGTGAATATATATATATATATATATATATATATAAGCCCGAGAAATTTCAGAGAAATCATATAACATATATCAGGCTATATGAGGGTCTCGTGTAGGATACTGGTTCGATACCTGTTGAAAGACATATTCTCTATGAAATTTCCCGGATATTCAGACCGCTAAATGTTGTTAATACTATTTATTATAAACAGACCATTTACTTAAATATCTGTATCTATAAAAAAAAATAACGTGTAAACAGATAATATATTGAAATAATTGTTGGACTTCGTTTTGTTCATATATATATATATATATATATATATATATATATATATATATATATATATATCCATTACAGTCACATACGTGCTAATACCCTTGAGGAAGGTATGAATCCTCTTCTTCTCCCCCTCCCCAACTATGGGAAAATAGCAGAACAGACTGGGTTCTATAAGCTTGGGTGGCAACTGGTATAGGAAAAGGAAAAACTCTGAATTCAAAACTGGCCTGGAGAGTGCCCAAGAAACACCACTTCTACTGCGGCTTCAGTACACATGGTAACCTTATTACCCTACGGGTCACAGGATAAATATCTATCTATCTATCTATCTATCTATCTATCTCTATATCTCAGAAGATGAGGTATTATGTACATTATTTACATTATTCGGACATCTTTGCCGCCATATTTATTACAACGTTTCGGCCTTCTTCAGTGGTTGGAATGTCGAACTTAATCCTTTATTTCGCTCACTGGGGTAGACTGTTCTAGTTCCGCGTGTCATGTTTAATGGATGTCAGTTATCAGTTAACTCCTGTTAATTTCCCTCGGAAAGTTTTACAATGCCTTAACCAGGTATTGAACTCACACTCTTTGGGTCTTGTCACTGGATCTAACCTTTAACCTAACTGGATCTAGCCTTTATCCTTGAGGACATCTGGGTATGAATTTCTGGGTATTAATACCGAGAAATTCATACACGGATGTAAATATCTTTTACAAAGATGAAGATAATTTTCCGAATAATGTAAATATATATATATATATATATATATATATATATATATATATATATATATATATAATCCAAGTGTCCTATTAAGTTTGAAAACTAACTAGTCCCCTTCTACAAAATGACACCATAAACAGTTTGAAAAATCCTGCAAATTTTATATTTCAAATTCATAGGTGAAAATGGTCATTAACTAATGGTATCTTAATTCCAATTGTAAGAAAAAAATATATGGTCTACTATTATTAAGAAATTTTAACGGCAGTACAACATAATCAGAAATGAAATAACACAAACATTCGAAAACCTAAGATTTACAATCGATATAACATACAATCAAAAAATAGTCAATTTCCTAGATATGGCCTTCAGTTGAAACAAGGGAACTTCCAAACCATACACACCACTAAATAATGATCGAGTATATATTA